AGGGTTAGGTGGTGTTCCGGTGGTGTTCCGGTGGTGTTCCGGTGGTGTTCCGGTGGTGTTCCGGTGGTGTTCCGATGGTGTTCCGGTGGTGTTCCGGTGGTGTTCCGGTGTTCCGGTAGTCAGTGTTTTACTACATGCCCTTCGTTGAAGCTCGCAACATTGAACAGGGAGTAGCGTAGTTATGTTACCATCGATCCACGAATATTCTAGACCGCGAGCAGTCCCTCGTAAGAAAGGAGGGACCCACCGACAACACATCAAGAAACGAAATACGTACGCCAACTTTTCGCTCTTGTCAAGTTGGCTCCGGCTTTGCATAAACATTACTTGTATCCAGTAGGGACCGTTAATGTCGTGTTTATTTATAAAATCAACATTCAGTCTAGAAATTATTTATAGCATAATTACTACGTATCAGATTTGATTGACAGCCGTGTCGATTTCGACCAATGGGAATTTTGCGTTGTGTGGGCAACGCGTATTTCATTTCTTGATATGTTGTCGGCAGTCATCTAAAGCCGCGGAAAGGAGGAACCGCTCGCAGTCTACGGATTTTGTCACTGATTGTAGGTGCTGAAAGTTTTACTGAAGCGATGAAAATTGGATGTGAAACATACCACACGTTGAAGAATGTCATCAAGAAAAAATATGGTTTAGATGGTAAGGAACCGAAACACTCTATAGTCAGGATGCAGATGAATAAAATACCGAATTAATGCGGCATAAATGAATATGTTTGAAAAACGTTTTCTAGCCACTGCTGTTGGGGATGAAGGTGGATTCGCTCCTAACTTCCAAGATAATAAAGAAGGTAACTGAAAAAGTTGATTTGTGCGGTTTGATTAATTGGCTGTAGACTCCTAGTCTGGGATATTGTAGATGGGAAGATAGACAGAAGAATGGTTGATTGGTTGGTATGAGGGAGGACCAAGAAGGGAAGAAAGGATACGTGGAAGGAAGGAGGAAAGGGAGGGGGGGAGGAAGGAATGAAAGAAGGAACCGGAGGATAGAAAGGTTGGAAGGAAGGGAGGATGGAGAAAGGATGCATGGATGGGGGCGGGGGGTGGATGGGTGAAAACACGAAATGGAGGGGGGAAAGAGAGGGGGAAGGAAGAGTTGGATGGAAGATAGAAGATAAATGGATGGATGGATATAACGAACAGTAGTTAACAGTATATTTTGTTAACAGTAATTTATACTTAATACTTGATAGGTCTTGAATTGCTCAAAGAAGCCATTGCAAAAGCTGGGTATACTGATAAAGTTGAAATTGGAATGGACGTCGCTGCATCAGGCATGTCATAGAATTTTCTCTATATTAGATAAGATTTCAGTTGTTCCGCCCAACTTGTTGCGTTCAAAATTAAAAAATGATATTGTGTTGATATGTGATTATTGGTCTATTCTGTTCAGAATTTTACAAAGATGGCAAGTATGATTTGGACTTCAAGAACAAAGATTCTGATCCGAGCAAATGGGTAAGCAATGTGGAAATCCATCTTGGAATTCGTGGAGTGGTGACAATTCCAAAACCTTAAATAATGGATAGAATTCTCATCTCTGATCTATTTCATTTCAGTACCACAGGGCTCACTTCTGGGGCAGTTACTAATTTTTCTCAATAAATGGTCACAATCCTAAATTTACGATCTTCGTGTGGAGTACTACAGGGTTATGTTTTAGGACCATTAGTTTTCTTACTTACCACTTTTATGTGATCTACCTTATTCTACTAAACATTTATCAATCAATGGTCGCAATTCTGGATCAAGATATATTTCTTGTGGAGTACCACAGGGGTCAGTTCCTGGACCCATACCTTTCTTTCTTACGTAGTACAATTAGGTTTTGTTTTAAGTTTGAGTTTCAGTATTGCAGGGTGCAAGGATCAATATGGGCATCCTCTGTCTTATATAAATATTGGTCTTCGTTTTTAGATAACCGGTGATCAACTCAGTGCCCTCTATCAAGAGTTTATTAACGAATATCCAGGTATATGTCATGTGTATTAAAGTGTAAATACCGAATCCTGGCAATAATGGTCCCCCATATTTTGAGACAGGAAATTGAAAAAATCCAGAGACGCGCTACTCGTCGGATCGTGGTACTGCATTTCTGATGCATTCACATTGAAATCTCTTATTTTCCAGTCGTTTCGATAGAAGATCCATTTGATCAAGATCACTGGCAAGCGTGGTCCAATTTGACTGGTCAAACCAGCATTCAAATAGTCGGGTAAGTAATAATATTAATATAGAGTCTTGTTGAAACTACCTAAAACAAAATGAAATAACATTGACTTTCCAGTGAAGCCTTTATTAGGAATTTAATCTCCTTTCTTCCTCATTTTTTTGCCCAATTTTACTTTTCAAATTTATTCATTTTAGAGATGATCTTACAGTTACGAATGTCAAACGGTATTTATAGAATTAAATCGATTATAATCATATTAGGTTCTTATATTTTGCCCTTTTTTCTTTGTATCACTCATTCTGATGATGCATCTTATATTTTACTAGCATTGAGACGGCCATATCCAGTAAGGCATGTAATTGTCTGCTTCTGAAGGTCAACCAGATTGGCTCTGTTACAGAATCCATAGAAGCGTAAGTGTGTTAGTGTGAAGAAAACACTGTGATGAAACTTCAGACTGGACCATTCATTTCCTACGACATGCCGTTGTCTGATCATATTTCTTCTGTTGCACGTGAAAAGAACGTTTATAAGTTGTCTGTTCGAACGGTCGATGTCAGTCGATGGCTTGCAGTGTAGGTAGGACGATAGCAGACTGGGTCAATAAGGAATTGCCTTCACTGCACCTCCAGAGAGAACGGTTATGATTTGCTAGAGCTGTAAAGTATGTGTGAGTAATTTTAACCCTTGACTTTCATGTTTAGATGTAAACGTGCTCAAGGCAGTGGTTGGGGTGTGATGGTCAGTCATCGTAGCGGAGAAACTGAAGATACATTTATTGCAGATCTTGTTGTTGGCCTATGTACTGGGCAGGTATAAAATTGAATTAATAGTGCCGCAGGAATTCACTGTAAGAGGGTCAAAAGTTGCAATTGCTCCTAGTTAGATCTAAAAATGCATAACAAATGTGCGTTTGAAAATTCCATCTACAATAATCCCATCTACTACTTGATATTTACCCATAAAATTGAATTACTGTATATTGCGTGTTATCGACATATCGACATTAGCCGAATTCATATTAGAGACGGGAAACTCGTCTTAGACGGGAAACTCGTCTCAGACGGGAAACTCGTCTAATATGAATCCGGGCGCAGACGAGTTTCCCGTCCGCACTTTCCTGTCTAACTTACCCGTCTAAACAGACGGGAAAGTTAGACGGGAATCTCATCTAGACGGGAAACTCGTCTTAAATTCGAATTTACCCGTCCCTAAATTCATATTCAGACGGGTTTTCGCAGACGAGTTTCCCGTCTAAGACGAGTTTCCCGTCTAAGACGAGTTTCCCGTCCCTAATATGAATTCGGCTAATGTTATTGTGGTTTAGTATATTTTTGCGCAAGTGAACATAACAAATCCTACAAGGTGATTGGTCAAATTTGACGTATTAATCTGTTATATTCACCTACAGGTGAATATAACAAAATCGAAATTTTCAAAATGGCGGCTAGCCGTTTTGTTGAAGTTAGTGATAAAGAAATAAGCGAAATTAACTGATGAATTCAGACCAGAAAAAAACACAAAAGAACTTGTGCAAAAATACTAAAACAATTATTCGCCTCAGGCTCGGTGATTATCGGGGAATATTCACCTCGACTTTGTCTCGGCGAATATTCCCCGATAATCACCTCGCCTTCGGCGAATAATTGTTAAATATTTTACGTTACTATACATTTCATTTCAATATTCATAGATCAAGACTGGAGCTCCATGCCGTTCAGAACGCTTGGCAAAGTACAACCAAATTTTAAGGTACGAGAAATCTACCTGTCAAGTTGTCAACTAATTAATTCCTAGGCAAAGTAGGTTAGTAGAAATCAGTGTTTCTAGCCATGTTTCCTGAAGATGGGCAAACCATGTTTCCTAGCCATGTTTCCCAAAGGCAGGTAACCAGGAAACGCTGTTTCCTATCCATTTATTGCCAGGAAACATTGTCTTGTAGCTATGCCTATGTTTCTAAAAGGTCGGCAACCGAGGAACATTATTGTCGCAACAGAAATTTGAGGAACAAAATAAGCAAGAACAAAATATGTCTCTAGTGTCTCTAGTTTGCCCTGCATCCAGACTGTCAAATTATTTCAATCCATCACGTTTTTGCTCTACTGCCCCGTTTCTGTTTAGCCATGTATCAAATTTTATCTTTACTTTGATATGTTTGTGTCTTCAGAATCGAAGAAGAACTCGGGGAAAATGCAGTGTATGCTGGCAAGCATTTCCGTCGTCCTTCAGAAATGTAGGATCTTGTAGCGTGGAACATTTCAAGAAGGAGTATATGGCTATTGTGGCTTTTGAAGTTATTTTAAACAGAAATCCATTAAAAGTATTTTGAAAAAATTAGCATTTACGGCTGTCAATTAAAAGCACCGCCTGAGTGCAGGCTACAGCTTCAGCAAAACAGGAACCCCCAGATCCAGGGTAGGTCTATAAAAACGTATAATCTGCGTTCGAATTCCATCTACAAAAAACTTCTACTAATAGTTCTATGATTTTTGAGCATCCCGTTCGATGAAGTCGTATCGCACGATATGCCCAAAAATCTCAACAGACCAGTGAACTGTGATTTCACTCCAATTCTACTATTGAGCTCAAAACTGAAATTTCACCATCCAGTTCAAACGTGGGATCAGTGATCGCCTTTTGATGTATGTATTTTAAGTCTATGTTTACGTTTTGGGAATTCCCAAATATAAAACTGACACAGCATTTCAGAGTTTCTCATTCTCTCTCATTTTCTGCTTATATTCTTCCAAAAAGAAGACTTTATCTTTTAATTTATGAATACTTTCTACTGTCTTTGATCTGGCAATATGTCTGAAGTCTTATTATACCGTTTGCAAATGAATCGCGAAGCTATTCTCCAAGATTTAGAACCTGAGCAAGTCATGGACTATTTATACCAGGAAGATGTTCTCGATGGCGACAAATACGATGAGGTTAGCGACAAAGGTTCGAGAAAAAAGCAGGCAGAATTACTTCTGAGTTATGTAGAAAGGGATAGCTCGGCCATCCAAAAAATGATCGATGCTTTAAAGGGCTCATCTCAACGACATTTGGCATGTATTTTGAACGAAGCATTGCCTGATGAAGTCACCCGCAGCAAAGGTGGGTTTGTTGTCTTGTTACACCTTATTATTTTACTCTGTCTAACGTCAGACAATTTTACTCGTCACGGGCAGAGCGTTGGCACTCGATGAGTTGAAGCATATACCATAGCAAGAAAATCACCATAATGAAAACAAAAATGACCAAAAAATAGCAAAAATATGTTTTAATAAGACAATTTGTATTACAACTTCTGTAATACTAATAGTTCTGAACAAAACAGTATTTACATGCTTTTGGTAATTTTATTCAATACAGTGAAAATAGTTTTAAAGTATCTTTGCTTCATAGAAAAAATTTGCTCGTTGAGCATCCAATCAAATTGTGTGAATAGCAGTATCCACCTCCTAAGTATATGCTAAAAACAATTAATTTTCATACTGTAGGTATCCTCAAATCATTCCAAAATGATCTGGACAGCCCTTACCCGATGACCCATGTTCCTTGTGGCTATGCAGTCATAATCAACAATTCTGACTTTCACCCATATACCAAACTTGAACAACGCGAAGGCTCTGAAAAAGATGTGAAAACAATGGAAGAACTATTTAAGTGGCTACAATTTAATGTCGACATCTATGAAAACCAAACTGCAGCCGAGATTGTGAGTATTGTTCGAAAATATCGAGTCGAGATAGACCACACAAATTTTGATTGCTTTGTACTCTTTTTAATGAGTCATGGGTTTGAAGATGGGATATTTGGCACAGATGGAAGAAGAGTTAAGCTTCGAGAAGAAATTAGAAAGCAACTGACAGCTGATAAATGCTTCAGCCTGGCAAATAAACCTAAATTAATATTTGTCCAAGCATGCCGAGGGGGAGAAGCAGACAAGGGTTTTGTTGTCTCAGATAGTCCAGACGACCAGTTCTCGGTGAGAACCACGCCTGCCCAAGTGGTTAATAATTACCCAACCTATACACCTAGCAACTTAGATGTGACCCCAGATTACAACCCAGAAGTTGATGTGGAGTATATACCGCAAGATTCTGATATAATTATTGCATATGCATCAACTGCTTACCATGCAGCTCTACGACATACAGAAACGGGCGGATGGTTCGTGACACAGTTGTATGAGGTCATGCGCAAGTATGCCAAGGATGAAGATCTACAGAGCATGATCACGAGGGTGACGGGACTTGTATCAGCAAAGAAAACCCGTCAAAACTTAATGCAGTGCCCAGAACAGATTGGAAATCTTCGCAAGAAAGTGTTCTTCAAGCCAAAGTCATGATATAGAACATCTACTAATTGAAATATTACTAATATCTTGGTGTTTTAGGCATTTTGTGCCCAATTGTAACATTCATCTGCATTTTGGCAAATTTTGAGATAAATAAAGTATGAAGGACTTTGAAGGACTTGGTATGGATATAATCACCATAAAGCCTTGTTTCCATATGGTCGTAAAGATTGAGTCACAAACTTTCTCATCAGCCGAAATACAACATCTTAGAACTGAAAATACACAGAGTGATTATAACTAGAGAATACTTATGATTTATATGTGATTTACAGGTATAAACTTATTATAAACTGGCCATTGAGAAAGATTGTGACTCTAATTTTACGACCATTATGACCATATGGAAACCAGGCTTACCAAGAAACTATGATTTGTAAAATTGTAATGGTAACAAGATGCAACCTCGTACCCAGGCTATTTTCTCTTGCATTTTTTTGTCTATTTCTGTGGAGTTCAAATTTCAGTTTATGAATAAAATGAATGCATGACTTGTGTCACAAAGAAGTAAAAGTAGTCATGAAAGTATGTTTGGTCAATTAAAGATTGTATATCAGAAAGTGTATAATTCTTGCTAGAGCCATCACCAAGATAGCCTGCGAACAGGCTCTCTTTGAAAGAGCCTGTTCGCAGGCTATCTCCAAGAGAGCCATCCATTTTAAAAATTTTCTTAGGGAAGCATGCCCCCGAACGGGCAGAACTCCCCCTCCCCCCCCAGCTTGAAGTGTTGAACACACAATTGACACAAAGCAATAATAGTTTTGCCTGGAAAAACCTGGCCCGCCGGTCAGGGACCTTAGCCCCCCTTGTGGGGGAATTCCTGGTGCCACTACTGTCTTGCTGTACCGTAACTCGGCAAAAAAACCCCACTTAAACACTCTCGTAACTCACACCAGCTGCAAGCGACGCCCCTGCGCAAGCATGACCAACCGCATCGATTGTCCAAAGTGTCTACTACTGTGAAACACTGGTCTAAATGACCAAATAAATACAGTAAATGAGAATACAAAACATCTAACTGACTGAATCTTCTCCATGCTCCGTGTTTTTCTGCATCTTTTTCTACATAACAGGTCTATAAAAATCAGTTTTCTCTTTTTCTGTGACAGATCGTGCATTTTTTCACGCTTTTATACCGAGCACACAAAGGAGACTTTATTCCATCAACTGGTAACCCTAACATCAAACCTAGATTAATATATAGTGCTTGAACTTAATATAAACCACTTAAAGAGCACCATTAACAGTTCATTTCCATGTTTCCAAGGAAAATTTGCGACGTTGGAAAGAATGGATCAAAGACCTTTAAATGAGACAAAGAACGCAAATAGAACGTCACGTGACTCAATTAGAACAGTATAAAAACATTCGATAATGTATCATTTTACACATTTTCGATCGATATCATCCCGTGTTAATACTCCATCGAAAATGTTGCGTTTTGCGCCAATTTTTCTTCTCTCTTTAAACGCTTTCTTCTTGGTTAAGTGTACAGGTAAGTCCGTTTGGTATCTACAATTCTGATTCCCTAAATTTCGCCATTTGAAACCACGAAATGGTAATGTTTTGGTCCACAACATTTTTACAGGCGATCAGAATGGATTGAAACTGTGGGGCTTAACAGTCGCTACTGATGAAACCGATGGATTTAAGCGCTTCATGCGGTCTGCTGATATCTATAATATCAAAATCAAGGTAGGCTATTTAATATTTTTTTAAATTTCCTCAGAATCAAACATCAAATGAGCAATCGACTTGAATGCATTGGCATGCAAACAAAGGCTCTTTGTCGATATTACGATATATATTACATTCCCATAGAAAATCTGAATTGTCAGAAAGAATGTATCAATGTATGTTTTTAAGGGTTTCCAATTAATTTGAATAAAAGAGTTTCTAATAAATTTTCTGAACTGTCAAACTTAAGTTATTGTATAATTTGCTCGCCCTAGACAAAGCTTGTTGTGAACAGACTATTGTGTGTAAATACAGTGATAAAACATTTAATAATATTTATATAGGAAACACGCTAGACTAACATCCAGACAGATTCGATTCTTTCGCTTTTCAATATTAAATTTTAATAGAAGTTAATTAATTTACAAGCAAACACTATATAAATTAAATTTTAATACTATTAAATTTTTGGCTAAATCAAAAGCATTTATTTTTTATCGTTCAGTATATAAATTATCGATAATGTAATATCTTTAAAGAGCCTTGGGTAGTATTCTAAGTTTCCAAGATATTGCCAATTAATGTTACTAACGAGTAAAATCGTAGTGCAATATTAAATATTGAGTAATATTAAATATAGTGCATATTCTAGGTTAACGATTAATGAGTTAAACTGCCAGTATTACTTTCTGACCTGATGCATCCAGTGGTGTAGCCAGCCCAATAATCTAGTCCCACCATGCAAATAATGCCATGCTTATAAATTATCAATACAATAAATTCTAAAGAAATGAATACTGTAATGATAACGAGTTGAAATTTGCATAGTGGGACTAAATTGTTGGGGCTGGCGACGCCACTGGATGTATCTACAATAATACCATTCTGCAACTGGTTAGAACTGATCTCTATATATAATATATGTTTTATCGCCATGCAAACGTACAAAGAACTGATTTCTATATGTTCTTCAAAGGTTGCTGGAATGCACGAGGAATGGAAAGGTGGCAATATGGAACTATATCCAGGGGGAGGTCACAAGCTGAACTTGCTGCGTAAGGAGATTGAATTCTTGAAAAATGAGACTGATCTGGTTGTTATGTTCACTGACAGGTATTGAATACACCCTTTCAATCAATCAGACAGTTAGTTCATCACCCAGGCAGTCAATTAATTGGTCAGACAGTCTATTAATCAACGAGGCAGTCATTTAATCAGTCAGACAATCAATTAATCAATCAGGCAGTCGTTTAATCAGTCAGACAGTCAATTAATCAATCAGACAGTTAGTTCATCATCCAGGCAGTTAACCAGGCAATCTTTTAATTGGTCAGACAGCCTATTAATCAATGAGGCAGTCATTTAATCAGTCAGACAATCGATTAATCAATCAGGCAGTTGTTTAGTCAGTCAGACAGTCAATTAATCAATCAGGCAGTCAATTATCAATCAAGCAGTCAAGTAGTCAGGTAGTGAATTAATTAATTAGGCAGTCAATTATTCAGGCAGTCAATCAATCGGGCAGTTAATCAATAAAGCAGTCAATTAATCAATCAAAAAGTTAATTAATTAGTAAGACAGTAAGACAGGCAATTAAGCAATCAAGCAGTGAATTAATCAATTAGAAAGTTAATTAATCAGTCAGACAGGTAATTCATCAACCAGGCAGTCAATTAATTAATCAGGCAGCCAATTAATTAATCAGGCAGGACTTCAGTTCATCAATCAGACTGTTAATTAATCAGTCAGACAGTTAATTAATCAATCAATCAGGCAGTTAATTAATTAATCAGGCAGTCAGTTCATCAATCAGATAGTCAATTAATCAGTCAGGCAGTTAATTAATCAAGCAGGCAATTAGTCAGTTAAGCAGTTAGTTAATTAATCATGTAATCAATCAGGTAGTCAATTGATCAGGCAGGTAATTAATCAGTCAGTTAATTAATCAGTCAGTTGGTTAACAGACAGTTGGTCATGAGGCAGTTTAATTAATAGACTACTTTTATTAGACAAGCTACTGTACATGTATTTGTCAATCAGCCAGACATTCAAACATGCACATAATGAACCTACAGTATTACCTAATGAATAAAATTTTGATCTAGACAAATCTAGACAAAAAATTCATCACAGCTTGAAAGAGCATCACAAAATTAGTAATATTCCGAAGTTTCGTTGCGAAATGTTGTAAAATGAAAAAGGTATCAATTTTGCATGCGTAATACAAAATGACTGAAAAACAGCAAACTTCACAGGGCTATATTATCCGCATTGTGTTTCTTCCAATTAGCTATGATGTGATATTTGCTGCTGGGGCTGATGAAATTTTAAAAAGGTTTCTGGCATTCAAAGCTAAGGTGGTCATTTCAGCAGAAGGATTTCTTTGGCCTGACAAGACCTTGCTGGTAATGATTTATATTTGAAAAAATCTTGTTGTTGCCAATTTTCTGATAAATTATTTCTAGTTAATTGTATTAAGTCCTCTCCCTCTCTCTCTAATATACCATTCATATACCCCATCCTTGAACATAACTGCTGTCTAATCAATACTCCCTTTCTAATCAAGAGTAAATCCATTTACCGAGTCAAATCCGAGTCCGAATCAGTCCCGAGCCCGAGTCAAATGCCCGAGTCGCGTAAAAAAAGACGAAAATGAAGAAAATTTACAGTCGAATAGGGTTGGAGTAGGTTTAGGGTTAGGGTACTAAGTCATTTTACCGACAAAGGCAGTTAAACAGTGACTTGGACATTTGACTTGAACTCGGATTTGAGTCGGTGATCAGTAACCAACAAACTCCCAAATTTAATAAAATTCACAGTTGAATAGGTTTAGGGTAAGTTAGGAATGGGATTATGAACAAAAAAACATCAATGGACATACCAAATAATATGATAAAATTGGCTTCTCATATAATATCACCAATATTCACATTAATGAATCTATTAGAACAGGTATTGTTCCTAATATTTTGAAAATCTCTCAAATAATACCCATTTATAAAAGTGGAGATGTCGCTGATCCTTTTAATTATAGACCTATTTCGATCTTATCATCATTTGCCAAAGTGTTGGAACGTTTAGTATATAATCAGCTGGAGTCGTACTTAGAAAAAATAATATACTTTATAAATATCAATTACACTGGCTTCAGAAAAGGTCATTCTACAGAACAAGCAATACTAGAATTAACTGATAACTTAAAAAAATCTATTGATAACAAAAAAATTAATTGTGGATTATTTTTAGACTTCTCAAAAGCATTTGACCTCGCATTTGACACAGTTAATCACGAAATCCTTTTGACTAAATTAAGTAGATATGGTATACCCCAGCTCTATTAGATAGATATATGCCTTTGTAATCAGTCCCCCTCCTTCCTCTCGTTCAATTCTCCATCTCTAGTAAATATCCTCCTTAATAAGACGTTCTCTCTCTAATAAATCTGATAAAACATTTTCCAGAATAAATATCCTGAAGTAAAGGAAGGAAAGCGGTTTCTATGCTCAGGAGGTTAGTGATGCATTAATTTAGCGCTAAAAAAATCCATTATTCATTTAATTAAGATTACTAAATCCGCATTAATTACTATAGATGTTGCATTAATTTATGTACAGTATGTCGCGGTAATTTAGTGCATTGTTAATTTCCTGTAATAAGCAGCCTTTATTTACCCTTGATTTACCATATGCATCTATTTCATTATCAGGCATAATCGGCTACGCGCAAGAAGTGTACAAACTGATGACACATCATAAAATTACAGACACGGCTGACGACCAGTTATATTACACCAAGCTTTATCTTGACCAAAAGTTAAGAGTAAGGAGAATCACCTTCATTTCAGTTTGTTTATGATATCCAATGTATATACTGTAGTAGATAATGACAACAGTAGCAACAAAGACAAGTACGTGCAAAGACAACAGTAAGACCAACAAACAGCAACAGTAAGACAAACAAACAGCGACAATAAAAACAATGATGCAACAATATCGCAATATTTGTACTACCAAAACGACAACATCGGTAACGATCACAACAACTGCAACAATTCATTACGACCGCAACGACAACAGCAACAACAACGACAGTAGCAATTAACAACAGCTACGACAACAACAGCAACGAAGACGCAACTAATGCCTTCAACCAGTTTTCATGTAAAATTTCAGACTGAGCTACAAATGAAATTGGATCATAAAAGTGAACTATTTCAGAATCTTAATGGAGCCACAGGTACGCATGAACACAAGTGAGATCAAAACAATTTAGTGACGTTTAGATTTCCTCATTTAGATTGAATTTGCTAAATATAACGTCCTCTCGCTAACTATGTGTACTTTATTGTTTCTTATTCAATCGCGCATCTGTTTTCGTAGGCGAGTCTCAACTTGTGGCTGATGAAAATAATGTATGGTTTGAAAACACGCTTTATAACACCAAACCTGTAATTATTCATGGCAATGGTCCGTCAAAGGTAAAAGATCTACTGTTTGTGGAAATACTGCAAATCCTCTATAGACAATAGCCGTTTCCTAAACCATTTTAGCATCACGATGCATTCATTTGGTGGTTTATTTTATATGGCATTCGCTCAACCTGGTTTAAACATCGCGATCCATTGGAAAGTTTAATTTTTGGTGAAGAATAAATGTGCGTAATTTATGTATAAAAACAGACCAACTTCTACGTGCTTTTCTTTTTCAGTTATTTTTGAATTACGTTGGAAATTACATTCCTAAGGGATGGAATCCAAAGGATGGCTGTTTAAGTTGTTCAGAAAATACGTTCAGCATGGACGACTATCAGGTACTCTTAAGCCCTGGTCAAACGAGAATTGAGAAGGGAGAGTTCGCACTAAAGTTTTCTCAACTCTCATGCAAACCGTACGTCCATATATTGGACGATATTTTAGCAGGCTTATACCCGTGGTTTAACGCTTATCATGATACAGTAGCTAAAATACAGTAGCGTTTACTGCATATATTTTCTTTGGCTGTACAGTTTCCTTATACAGTTATACTGCAATTGTTAAAATTTTCCGTCTGCATTTATTTTGTAGTCCGAAGATTACCCAACCGTTCTGGCAGCCGTTTTCGTGGAAACACCTACGCCGTTTTTCTCAGAATTTCTTGAACGACTGGTGGCTATGGAATATCCAAAGAGCAGAATTGATATGTTTATACATAATGTGGTATGGAAATCGCTCTCGTAAATTTTTGCAGCGCTGTCCAACAGTCCAACGTCGTTCTAGTGTCGTATCGAAATGTGTTCGGCCCATGGGGCGACGTTTGATAAAAGACGCAAATTAAGATAGTTTAGTATCTTTTCTTTTAAAATGTTGTTGTCGTTTGTCTTATAACGTGACGATTAACAATTAAAAACTCTTTTCTTATAGGAACCGTATCACGAGAAGCAAATCCAACAATTTATCGCCACCCACGGAGACTCTTACAATTCTGTAAAATATGTCGCACCTGCGGACTATTTTAGTGAAACCAAGGCCAGAAATTATGCTGTGTGAGTAGAAACGCTTACACATACATTGTTTTTACTGGAAAGTTCCATCGTTCTGCAACAAGTTGTGGGTGACAACCCTGTGGGCCTGTAGCAACTTGATGAAACGACAGCATTGTTACAACTAAGCTTGTTGCGAACACAACTCGCTGACAACGTTACTTACACGAACTCAAACTTTGCCATCACTCAGAATTTTGTTATTGTCATTTTCCAACAGGGAATACTGTCTTTCCAAGCATTGTCAATATCTCTTCGTTATCGACTCCCCTGCTGTGTTCACTGAACCGAAAACATTGAAAATCCTCATGGAACAAAACAGGTAAGGTTTGAATTATTAAACTGTAGAAACCACTAACCATTACAAAATCACTGTAACTCGAAAATGATTTTCTTGCAGATCTATAATCGCTCCGAAGCTTACGAAATACGGCAAGTTGTGGTCAAATTTCTGGGGCGACATTGGAAGTGATGGATTCTATGCTCGATCAAGAGACTACGTCGAAATTGTTAATCGTGTGAAGAAGTAAGAACTGTCAAACTGATCGACCACGCAAGGCGGTTAGCTCGGCAAGTTTCTCTCGTGCGCGACAGGGTTTAGAAATCTAACTTCTCCCCCCCCCCCTCCAACAGACGATGACCACGCCACTGAAAAGAAAAAGAGGATCCTCTCCACCATTTCTGAGATGCTTCCACAGCCTTTAGACAACATTATAACCCAAACAAAATCGTCCTACTCTCACTTCGTTCCGGGCTTTACTGTTACTATCTGTACTTAACTAATCTTCCGCTATGGTATTGTTGTAGGGGTGTGTGGAACGTTCCATTCCTTTCGACAACCTATCTCGCACATCATAGCGCTTTGAGACAAGTCAAAAACCCATACAGTAGCACGATGTTTGAACCTGACATGGCTTTCTGTGCGTCGATCAGGAGAAAGGTAAATGAGCCACAGCAGCGCTTTAATACTTTGAGTTTTGATAAACAGTTCTCAAGAAGTATTGATGAGATTAAAACAGTATTTTAAACGGATCATCTGTTAAAACGCATCACTCGTCATCTTACTTTGCAGACCATTCTCGTACCCGGAGACCTTCTTACGCGCGGTGCGACGAGGAGCTCTGGCCAAATCCAAAACCGGATACCATAAAAACATGGTAAAAGAATATATCCGGTATTAGAACAATAACCTTCGTTGTAGCCAATCATATGGCAGTTTGATATGGATTTGGCCAGAGCCCTTCGTTGTACCGCGCGTAAGAAGGGCTCTGGGTACGAGAATGTTTGCAGACGAACTAGTACTATTTGAAAACTGGCAATACTCACGTAACTTAGGCTTGTCGCACACTTGCCAACAAGTTGCGACACAATGTTGTTAGTATGTTGTTACAAGATTGTCACTCACAAACGAAATATACACAAACGACATATCTTCTCTCTGCCCGTATTCTAAAAGCTCACTAACATTCACACTCAATGAGTGGAAGTTCAATCTGAGAGCTTCTCTCGAGTGTCATTGCTGTTTTTGAATAGCTGGAGGGTTAGTGTTGTACCCTAATATGTGACTTCTCTCACCCTCCAGCTATTCAAAAACAGCAATGACACTCAAGGGAAGCTCAGATTGAACCTCCACTCATTGAGTGTGAGTGAGCTTTTAGAATACGGGCGTTAGTGTTTAGAATCAGTTTCCTCAAACATTTCTTACAAGTCCTTCAAAACTTAGAATTTACCCATGAAACCAATTTGAATAACAGTAAACTGTAGAACTGTCCATTTTAATAATGGTCTTTTAGAGTAGCATCTTATCTCTTGTTCACCAAACCTCAGTTGATTTTATGTAATTTGTAATATTGGTGTAATATATCTACAGTAATTGGACCTTACGTAATGTAAACATAATTCAGCCTATGGCTGCAAGGTTTATCAATTAAAAACATCTATCATCTATCTATCTGAACCAGCCTTAACTTTAACATTGCGCATGTGTTTTTGTTCAGGGTATATTTATGTACGTTGACAACTTGGTTTCATTCGGTCGATTGTTGGACACGTCGATCTTTACAACGACAAGGAAGCATGGGGACATGTATGAAATGATGAATAACGTTCTGGTAAGATTCTGTTGTATGTACTACTTTGTCTTTTTTATTGAAGAAACTTGCAGATAGGATAGCTGTGTCCATTCTCCATGGACATACACTGTAGCCACTGACCAGAAACAGAATAGTTTATACAATAGATTTAATATATATCGTTGTTGTCTAGGATTGGGAAAAGAAATATCTTCATCCTGCCTGGCATGAATTGCGAACACCTGAATGGAAAATGGAAGAGGTAGATTAAATATTTAGTGTTCTCTTTGCTATTTTTCGTGTGTGTTTTGATGTTATGTACTCAGGTGAATATAATGTTTTTGATGTTACTCTGAGTGTATATCCACACTGGGCATGAGGCTGAAAAGTTAGCCTGACTGACCATGGTGGGAATCGAACCCGCGACCTTTGGGATACTAGTCCAATGCTCTGCCAACTGAGCTACGAGGCCAAGTCTGTTCGAGTTTGTGGTATTTCGGAGCTGACCACGGTGGGAATCGAACCCGCGACCTTTGGGATACTAGTTAAACAGAACTTCAAATTTTATTCTCTCTGATAAACAGAACTTCAACGTATCTTCTATTAACGTCCCGACATGTTCGCTTGAAACGCCGAGCTAGGTTCAACATTCTATCTCAAACTCATTAATAATTCATACATAAATTGACCATTTGCGTAATAGACTAAATTTTGATCTCAACAAAAATTTCATTCTAGCTTGAAAGAGCATCACAAAATTAGTAATATTCCAAAGTTTCGTTGCAAAATGTTGTAAAATGCGGAAAATATAGCCTTGCGAAATTTGCAATTTTCAGTCATTTTAGATTACAAACCGGAAATTGACAGCCTCGAAGGGTTTGAGGCTGTCAATTTCCCGTTTGTAATCTAAAATGACTGAAAATTGCAAATTTCGCAAGGCTATATTTTCCGCATTTTACAACATTTTGCAACGAAACTTTGGAATATTACTAATTTTGTGATGCTCCTTCAAGCTGTGATGAAATTTTTGTCTAGACTTGTTTAGTTCAAAATTTAGTCTATTACGCAAATGGTCAATTAGCCAACCATATTGCTTTATTTTGCTCACATGATAATACTTGATACCTGGTGAAGTATATTGATCCAGTTCTAGGACTGGATCAAAATTAATTCAGTTCTTGGACTAGATCGAAATTAATTCACCTCACTTCAAGTAGTGATTTATTCGTACGAGATGTCATTTCAAATCCTCCAATTCGGACTGGACTAGATTTCAAGTCCTCGCATTTTGATCCAGTCATTTCGATCCAGTCCTCGTCTTCTCCTCGGACTTGATCAAATTAATTGCGCGAACTTGAAATCTAGTCCAGTCCTCATAGTCGGATTTGAAATATTACATGCAGCACTATGATTGTCGGTTTTGACCGTATTTTTCATTGCCTTTATTTCAGCCATGCACAGACGTTTTCTGGGTCCCACTCTTCTCAGAAACATTCGCTACTCATCTGTGGCAGGTAAAGAAACCAAGCAACCTTTATTTTTATATGGAAACTATATCAACTGTCTAAACTGTTTTTCCTAAACGTTCGGCAAAGGAAATCTCTTATTGATCCGGTGTAAAGGTTAAAGCTTCCCGGATAAGTTTCCTTCACAAGTTTACCTTCTCATGTTTACCTTCTCATGTTTACGATCAACAAGTTTTCCTTGACAAGCTTTCCCTTGAGAACTTTTGTTGCTCCTGTGCAAGGAATGTTGTTAAACATTTCTCTCACTTCAAGGCCACATTTTGTTTGCCCCAACCATGTATTTCTCGTACACTTGTCATGTTCTCCTTGGCGGCCGTACACACGAACAAATTTTCCTTGTCCAAAAGCTAGAATGTCAAGCTTTGGAACAAGGCTCGTTGGCAAGGAAAAGATGTCAATTTTTGCCGTGCACACGAGCAAATAGAACTTGTCAAGGAAGTCTGTACGGAGCTTAATCACTTATTTCTCCAGTGTTTCTACACGAGGCAAATCAGAGTACTCGGAGGAAACCTGTGGCGTTTGATTGAGTCGAACTGGAAGCATTCTTCTCTCGACTGAGGTAGAATTGAAATCAGGCCACAGCGGTTTTCGGAAACTGAACTCCGGCCAACTCTTGGTACACAGAAAAACTCGCTGGTTTAGGCATGTTTACTGAATTTATATTTTTATCTACCCAAATACAGGAATGCGAACATTTTGGCGAGTGGTCTGGCGGTGGGCACAAGGTAAGCTGCGAATCCAGGATTTATGCCATGAACAAATAGCCGTTCATATTTTGGTTGCATCTAATTAAGTGCAGATACGTAGCTTACATGCATGCGGATGGGGTAGTCTACCGGTTATGGGAAGGGGGCCGGTTAGTTAGTTAGGGAGATGGGGCAATGTTAGGGTGGGGGTATACCCTAGGGTTAGTGGTAGGCTTGTACCTAACCTAGACTTGTGCCTAATCTGTGTTTATGTATCCTGCAGGATTCTCGTATTTCTGGTGGTTACGAGAATGTCCCCACTGTCGATATCCATATGAAACAGGTAGGCTAAGCTAACTTTGTTCAATTCTATATACTAGAGAAAGAGACCTGTAACTTCGGAATTTTTATTTAAAGACTGTCAAGCGCATATTTTGACATTGATCTTGGTGCTGTTTGGACTATGGAGGTAGCATCGCTCCATGGCTCTCTAACTCCCTGCGTGCTATACTCATTCCTAGCCATCTTTCATACGACGTAATTTTATCACCAGAGTTATCACTTTTCTTAGATTGGATTTGAACCACAATGGATGCATTTCTTGAAGACATATGTGGCTCCCATTGCAAATCACATATTTACTGGATATTATTCTGAGGTAAGGTTCTATCTAAAATATATATTTAGGTCCAGTAAGCTCCACTAAGAACCACCATTTATCGATCGAGTGTTACCAAAAGATAAAACTGACTAATCAAACAAAATTTATAGTCCATAGATCTATCAGTACTGAATTGACCTCGATATAGGCCTAGCTAGAGATCCAACATGGGCCATACATTGTTTATTGATCCAGTATTACTACAGAAGGAAACCTAAACTAAACTAACTTTAATTATACTGGATAGCTCTACCAGTTCTAAACTGTTCTCTCTAGAGGTCAAGTAAGAGTCACCACTTATTGTTCCAGTGTTACTACAGAAGAAACCTAAACTACACTAACTTTATATATACTGTACTGGATAGCTCTATCAGTTCTAACTGTTCTCTCTAGAGGTCCAGTAAGAGTCACCACTTATTGTTCCAGTGTTACTACAGAAGAAACCTAAACTACACTAACTTTATATATACTGTACTGAATAGCTCTATCATTTCCAAACTGTTCTCCTAGAGGTAGAGGTACTGTATGCGAGTGCCTTCAGTTATTTTGTGTTTTTGTTCTAGTCACGAGCATTCATGAACTTTGTGGTAAAATATCATCCTTCCAAACAATATTTCCTTCGTCCTCACCATGACTCATCCACCTATACTATCAATGTGGCGCTCAATAGACGAGGAGTTGACTATGAGGTAGGATTCACTATTGCAATTCTTGTTCATCAGGGGCGGATTTAGACTCATCTGCAAGGAGGGGTGCAGGTTTTCCATGGGGTGGTGCATGAGGGAGCCTTACTGCCCACTCTCCTCTGCAGTCTGTACCTGACCGAATCTGCATGCTCGCCGTTCTGTGACGTTTTACATTATCTTTTGTTTATAAAGTTTATATCGGCTTTTTATTACGTATGCGTGACTGGACAGTTATTGTATCACAGTACAGTATGTTTGCTTGTTAAAGTACAGTAAAAAATATGGCTGTACAACAACCTCGTTTACATATTTAACCATGATATTTAAATAAAGCATTCTGCATGTATATTTTCTCGTAAGCTCACAACTCAATTAAATCGTTTCAAGAAATCAACACGCGCTAGCAGTGGAAGTTCCGCTAATAGCTATTCGAAAATCAGAAAATGTATGGTCAAGCAGATATTTTGGGGGTGGTGATGGACTTCTCTAGAGAGGTACTAGACAACACTAGGTGGGGTGAACCCCCCTTGCACCTCCCCCCCCCCCTTGCACCCCACGGTAGATTCGCCCCTGTATCATAATAACACTAATCTATTATTGTTTATTCCAGGGTGGCGGTGCTCGTTTCACGCGATACGACTGCGCCGTGCAAGATACAAAGGTGGGCTGGGCACTCATGCATCCGGGTCGTCTCACTCATCAACACGAGGGACTTCCTACCACTAATGGTACACGATATATCATGATATCCTTCATTGATCCTTGAAAACCCCATTCGTCGCATAAAAACGAGAGGGAATAGAAAGTATATGTGTATTTTATTCGACCATTGAAAGGGAACGATTTTATAGTGTTCAGATTAGGCGCGTAAACTTTTTTATGACGGAATAAATAACACGGGCGATATCTGTAACCTACACACGTAAAAGTGCACAAACTGTTGCAAGGCTGCATCAAACTTGCTCTCATGCTCTGACATTTTCCAGCAAGAAGACACCAGGGGCCAGTTGTTCAAAGCTGGGTTAGCTTAACCCTAGGTTAACCTAAAATTCAAAGCTAACTTCCTGACAGCTTGTCTATAAATTTGGAGATATTTCTTCAGAGATCTTGTCTGGATCGATAGGAGTTTACTTCTCTGAAGTTTTGAAATAAACAGACGTGCAGAAATACACAAACTAAAACAGCAGGTTAAATTTTAACCCAGGGTTAGCGCGCGCTAAACCACCTTTGAACATCCGGCCCCAAGTTGTGTTCACATTGCTTGTACCCAGTTTGCTAATATATACAGTATGAGCGACCGTGTTAATGTATCAGTTATACAAACTCGAACAGAGGGTGAGAAGTTGTACTGCATGTATGTCTGATACAACACGGACACAAATGCTGTATAGGATTGTGAAGGATTTCAACAGATTATTCAAAAATAAGTGATCTTAACTGAGAGTCTGAGAAAATCGAGGGGAAAGTTAATGCAAATCAAGAGAAATAATTTTGTATACCTCATTAAACATTGATTTCTTTTGAATTTTCCTCGTGAATTATTAATGAGTTTTACAAAAGTTATTACAGGCATGCAACAGACTTGTTACAAGGTTGTTTGAACAAGCTGATATATAGTTATGTTCGCATTGTTGTTCCCAGCTTGTTGAGAAACTGTTACAGGTTTGTTACAGACTAGTTTCAAGGTTTTATACCAAATTGTGTTCGCAATGCTTGTTTTGTTACAGGCGTGAAATAAACTTGTGCTACTATGTGCAACCGATTGTTGCAACTTTGTTACAAAGTTGTTTCAAGAAATTAACATCAGCTAAAGGCCTCTTTTACGTGTGTAATTAATAATGTCCGAAATGCCTTATATATAAAACCTGAGGACAGTATCGACTTATCGACTGTCTCCAGTAAATTAACTATAAAGCTGCTTATGCTAAGGTGCTTTTTTTAGATAATGCCGCATTTTTATATCCCCTGAAGCAATCTTAAAATTTATCAAATATTTATATAGTATTTTTATACATAGAAATTGTATTCTTTAAAGTAAATAATAAAATTATATCAGCGTTATTAAAATTTTGATTGAGTTTAAAAAACTGGTTAACACAAAGCTGTCAAGGAGTATGAGGAATTTTCGTATTTTGACATCGATTTAAAGACCTTTGTTTGCTATCGAGGGAGTTGTCCAAATATCTCATAATTTTCTCTTATCCTTCAATGGTGTTCGCAATACTGTTGGTTGAAATTAAAAGAGAATGCAGAAAATAAAGTTCCCATCTGTCAGGGGTAGGTGGTTGCATTGAATGGTAAATGTGATTCCAGCTATATAGACGAAATTTTGATCTAGACTGAAGAAGAACGAAATCCAATTGCATAGCTGGAAAGAGCATCTTAAAATGAGTAAAATTTCAAAGTTTGGTTGCGAATTGTTGTCAAATATAGCGCTGTGAAGTTCGCAAATTTTGTACATATTTGCATTACGCTCAGGAAAAATAACCATTTTTGAGCCGAGAGTCAGGTTATTTTTACCGCGCGTAATACAAATATATACAAAATTTGCGAACTTCACAGGTTTATATTTTCTTCATTTTACAACATTTAGCAACCAATCTTTGTAGTTTTACTCATTCTAAGACGCTCTTTCTAGCTGTGATGTTGGATTTCGTTTTTCTTGCCTTGATTAAAATTTAATGTATAGCTGGGATCAACCATTATAGGTTCATAATTTTGGGATCTCGGCCGAAGATTTTTGTGGATAAAAATTTCCAGGGTAAAAATTTCCAAACATTTTTCAGTATTAATTAAATAGATATTTGCATTCTTAATTTGATTTAATCGACAGCACCAAACGATCCCCTCGTGATTTTGCCTTTTGGGGTTGAAATCGCAGCTAATTTCCATATTCATGATTTCGATTTAAAATGTCATTAAGCGTTCGACAAACAAATGAAATTAATATCTCCCGGTTCGAATTAACATATAAATGGCTAGTTTCCGTTTGAAGACAACAAAGCTCACAAGCACTTTATAAACCACTCTATGAACGGTGATTTTTGAATCCTCGTGTTTGCTTTTCGGTAAGTTATATAGTAACCTGAACAAATTTGTTATTGCTGATTATTTGACATTTGTATTTGCAAAATTAGCGTGTTATGTGACGTTTCCTAGTTGTTGTAGATAGCAACCAACTGTGTTGTTAAAATCAAGGCATAGCACAAAGGCTATAGATCACTTAGTGTCAGTTTATACTTTATTGAATTCTGACCCTTGGGAATTTTATAGGACCACTTAGGAATTTAACAACAACTGCACCGTAGGAAGTTTTGTCTCACATAGACAGCTCCTGCACACGTGTGACAAATTTGAGCGATTCGCCAAGATTTCCCGACTGTTTTAATTACATTTTATTTGCAGAGTTAGTTTGGACAAAAGCTGTGGTTAAACACAATATTGTATGCGGTCTATTTAAAGGTACGATTACTTTTATCTCGTGTATAACTTTGTCGCCGGAAATATATAGATATTCTGCGGTTTTGTGTACTTTAACGAATTTCTGAACCGTTGGTCATCGAGCTCGCCGGACAATGAATAAAAGGTTGAATGCAAGCAATGCCAATGGGCCTCGTCATGGGCCATTAAATTTCGAAAACTTGAAAGTTGACAAAGCCAAAGGCAGCGTTGTTAGTATATGATGCAACAAGCTGTCAAAAGAATTGTCTGTAATTCTTGCAAATGTTTGTTGCCTAGCACGTTGTATCGTGAAAACCGAAGCGTTGAAGGGAAACAATCAAATTATTAAACCTGGTTTCGACAAGGCTTAGAAATTAAAGTTGACAAAGCCGGACAAAGGCAATGCTGTAAACATCGTAAATTATGTGTGTCAAGGTCACTTAATTGTAGCCGTTTAAAATGCACCATGTCGGTATTGCTGGGCTTTATAGTTACATTGGTTAAGTTTGAAATAAGCGCATGAGAAACTGGTGGCCACAAGAGGAAATTTTTGAACCTGCAACGCAATTTCGAAAACAGAAGTTCCAACGATAGATTATCGAGTGTCTTGACAATGCAACAAATTGTAGACAACTGAACTTTTTGCAAATGGTTGGGTGCATGCCAGGCTGTGTTTATGTACCATGAAATGCGTGTCCAACGACTAGTTACTATTTTTGTCAAATGTGAACTATATAATCATAGCAATTTGAAACCGGAATCGAAGTCATGGGCAATTAAATTTCGAGAAGGATCACTTTCTTGACAATGAATGCGGTTTTATATTATATGCAAAAACGTATATGTGTAACTTGCTGGTAGTTTCTTGCAAATATTAAAGGCAGTTGAATACTTGCCTTGGCACCTTTCTTAGACTAGAGTACCATAAAATGCTGTTTAACCCATGCACCAGATTGTTAAAACAGCTGCAAAATGCGACATAACTTCGATTGGCAATTGCGATATTATTTTCTTTATATATAACGCCTTTATATAGAACGCCTCTCGGAGTAGCATCATCTAAAATAGTGATATTGTTTGAAAACGCAATCCGTACCATATTGCTGAAAAGTTGGTCAAAATGGAAATTTTTGGTCAAATTAAAATAGTTGGCCACTTTATATTTTGCCGGTTTATATTGTCAACTATACTGAGTGCTCAAAAGTGCAAAGAAAAAGAAGTGTTTTATCTCGCGGCAACTTTTCACCTTGTACTAAAAACCACCTCTTAAGACTCTTATTAAGCATTCAGTTTTTCCGTCATGAATTTGATGGGTCAGACCTTTGAAAACTTGGTCAAAATGTCAGGACCCCCTCCCCCGCCCCAAATGTTAATGACTCAAGATGCGAGAAGATTGCTATATACAGTTTGACTCCATCGAACCCCACTGAGATTTTCTCCGCGGGCTTTTACGGTTTCCTCCTGCACGATTGGATTCAAACTAAATCAATCAAACTAAATCACCACAAACGTACACTGTTCACAAAAGTCGAACACAAGTATTGTTCAGTTGTCATGGAGTTGTTTTGCGAACGAAGGTATTTAATTTGCGTCTAAAGTTCTCTATTATTGCGCATAATATAATTTTGCAACTGCGTGGCAGTTGCTGATTTGTTGTCACAAGTAATAAACACGTTCCAACATGATTTAGTCTGTTATTTATAACTGATCATTTTGTCAAGCTTCGGACTACAGCAAATTTAGATTCACTGATTCAGTATTCAAGCCGGCCACACGTTTCAGGCTCCTGTCAAATTCTCGTAAATCGTCAACCTTCATATCAAAGCAGTTGGCTGGTGTATGAAGTCAGTCTCATTGTAATTCTTCCGATCATCTTTTCATAGTGTGCGCACTAGTGGTGGAATTTCTGTATAAATACCAAGATCAAACTGCATCGGTGGAGTGGAGCAAGTGTCGCGGTTTATAAAACGGTAAGCTGTTCTATTATAGTCCATTGTGGGTATCTATTGTAGGTATATTTAGATATATATTGTATCCTACGCGGCCGTGATGTGTAAAACTGTTTCGTGAAAAAGTAAAACGGATTCATTTTGCTTTTATTTTAGCGTAGTTTTTTAAATATTTTTAGTGATGTGTCATGTAATTTGGACAATTTTATTTTCTTGCCAACCTTAGCCTATATATAAGATTAAATATACTGTAACTCTACGTTATATTTCTTCTGTGTGGCACAGTAGCAGCTGGGAACCACAATTACTAGAATTGCATTGTTATCTAGACATTTATTATGTCTTTGAATATTTTAGTAAAACTATCAGTACCACGTGAAATGTTTCAGTTAATCTTTTGCAAGTAGTTAGAGGCACTGTACTTAGAAACATTTGTAGAATTACTGGAGTATATATCATTATACTGATTTGTACACCAATGCGGAGACCCACTAATATACTCGTCGTTTGCGAAATTTATAGGCTTAAGACCGCCATGTTACATGACGCAATTTTAATTGGTCATTTTTGCTGCCACGCAACGCAACTTCTGATAGAGAGCAATGTTATCTAAAAAGTAGTCGCAGGGAAACTCTGGACATGCATGGCCCACGGTTTAATACTCTGCCAACATTTTGCATCCCATTTCTCTATCATTTTTCATACCGTATAATTATAGCCATGAGTATGTTATGTAACTAGAAAGTTCCTGCAAAGTAGAATGCGGCTCATGCATCATGCATGCTCATATGTTACGGGAGAGTCAGTTTCCTTAGGAACCGGTCATTATTTACTGCCAAGGGTGGCCTGGGGGGGTGGGGGTGGCACCGAAGAGAAAATGGTTGGGTAAACAAAATTTTGAATGAGTAAAAGGTTGGGTAAATGAAAAACAAAACAACTCAAGGGTTGGGTAATAAAACACTTTACCCATGTAGGTCTGCCTATTAATTAAAGTACTGTAAGAAATAGGAAACTATATAATTAGTTCATTGTGGACACAAGGATTATAACTGTAATGATGGTAATCTTTGGGATCACGTCTGCATTAACCAAACACTATGTTGGGTATCTCAGCACTTAGATGAAGATTATAGAAGGTCAACATTTTAAAAACATTTGGTGTAGATTGGAAATCTTTAAAGAGAAGTTAGCTAACCGAGCATTGAAAGAAATAAAAGATGTGTTTATAATAAGCTACAATCTTGGACATACTACTGGTTGAGATTATACCCTTCCTTTTATGCAAAATTTGCATGCCCTTTATGATATAAATTCCTAAAACTAGGCTCTTAAATTTCGAATTAATCAGCGTGTGCTCAAATATTTTCACCATCCCATACGTTTTCCATAGACTTTCCCCATCCCTTGCCTTGCATCTTCTTGAAATCCTGAATTCCGGCGCCATTTAGTTTCTTTCATATGTCCCTGCTTGATTTGGGAAACTATTGGTACAATAGCTAGTACATGTAATAAATACTAATACATGCAGTTGCATGCTCAGTTTGAGATATTTCTTAACCAAAATTACCAGTTTTGAAAAGTGAAAGATTCAAAGATAGCTGGAAATGCGCTTTCTGGGGTTGTAATTTTAAACATTTTCTGGGGACATCTCGACACCAGTTCCCCAATCGTAAAATCGCTGCGCGCTCCCTGATTAAACTACACTTCCCAATCCTATTTCAGTATTTGCCTTCAAATTCTAGACAGCTACATGATCAAAAAGAAGTTCAAGAACTAATATTATTTTCTCATTTGATAAATGCTAGTCAGCTCAGCGACTCCCAGTGCGATCACTTTCATTGAATTACCATATTTTTGAAACGCATGAGTAACGCACAATGAAGTTCTGTTTGCTTTATATATGTCCTAAATACGTCGGATTGTTGGCAAAACTATTCAACATACACGTTATGCTCAAGTCAACATCACGAGTCCAAAATCATCCATTAATTTTACTTGTGAAAAAAAAAACAATTTGCTCAACATTTGTATGCTATTCTTCGTTAGCCAAGTTTAATAAACTTGCAAATAATAAGAACGGAAACTAAGAGTTAAAAAGGACGCCTACTATAAGCCAATTTTCAGAGCTTAAAGACTCCTAGTGTTTCGTATAAACACTGTAACTTTAGTGTAAATGCGAGCCCGTGAAAAGCTCAACAGGGAATCGGTGTAGGTCAATGTGGGGAACAATAGTCGCGTCCCAGCATGATAGTGAGAACTTAAAATATAAACAGTTTAGTTTGTTTATCCGCACTTTCAACTCTTTAAAGTATACAGACTTTCTCAATGATCTAAAACAGAGTTGAAACATGCCATTGTATAGAAGAGTCATGGTAATGTTCAACTGTTTATAAGCCGCGAGACATGTGGACTTGAATTTTGCTCTCAGCGGTTAATTCTGAGATTGTGCGGATTCGAATCGTTGATTCGATGTTGAATTGGGGGTCGAACTTCAGCCATCCAAGTTTGTTAAAGTAAGTTGTATTTAATTCATGATTACTTTTAATGGTGTGACACATACGTTATAGTAATTTTTGTGTAGTGATCAAGTTAAGTTATCATATAATGCATGAATATAGTTCATCTGAATGCCCATAGCCCATAGGTGGTATCGGGCGGTTTGCCTTGTACGTAAAGCAGATTCGGCACTTAAAAATTGGACAATTGTACCTAAAAAAAAAAGAGGAAAGGGAAGAGCGGGGAACATTGCCAAGTGAATAGGAAGGAATATGGTACGTTTTCAAAATGTCTAAATGTATGTTTTGAAAATTTTGAATTAGGGTCAGCGGTTAGGGATAAGGGTCAGGGTTGTGATACAGTGGACAAAACTCATAAACAGTGAGACATGAATCTATATGAGTACCATGCTCTAACTATTCCTAGAACTAGGGAAGAGGGGGTGACTAAGTTTGTTTTGTCAGTTTAACTTTGCAAAATAGGTTGGAATGGTTTCAGTTAAGGCTTATTTCCAAGATTGTACCTAACGATAAAAAAAGACTTTTGGAAATTATTTAAAATTTCGGCGCTCTTGTATTAATAGACCACAATGCACCACGTTACAAAGATGGCGTCGGTAGAGGTAAAAGCTCTATTTGCAGGATACGGTTTAATTCTTCATTTTTTGCATGCAGTTTGTTTACTCCGCCAGTAATTCGAGAATCACCAAAAACATATACAGCTATTTCAATTAAGGTTCTCCCCCGAGCAAAGCGGAAAAGTCGAATACGAGCGCGAAAGAATGCTGGGAATCGCTAATAAATTCATTAATTTTTTAGCGATTCCCAGCAGCCTTTCGCGCTCGTATTCGACTTTTCTGCTTTACTTGTGGACAACCTTAATTGAAATAGCTGTATATATATGCATGAATGTCAATGATGCAACGACTCCATAGTTTGCCACAATCATTTGGCCAACGTTGCCGCCCGTGATGATTATGATCGGCTTCCTCAGTAACCATCATGTTGCTATTTTTAGAACTGATGTAATTCACGACAAACGAACATATTCTAAGCAAACAATCTTATCTATATTATATATATAATCATGATAACTTCTTATACCGCGCCAGTTTCACTGAGCAATAAACAGTCATCAAGCGAGATAAAATCATGATCTGTTTACTTTATTCGTTTTTGATTAAAATCGTATGTCGTGTTTCACGTCCCTCGATAACAAGACGCTTTGATGTTCGTTCGTTATTCGTTAATTTTAGTCAGTATATATAGTTTGTCAAATGCTTGGGAAACGAATTTCGGGAAAGGCATGATTTCGGCATTCAACCTCACTGACCGCTGATCTCTTATTAACGAGAGCTTATTAACGAGAAAAATGCATTCACGATGCATTGCGCATTTATATTTTTGGTAAAATTGCGCTGTCTCTTCGTAAATCGTCGGAAGCTGATTGGAAATATTTTACTGTGTATTTCAACTTATTCCAAACAGGTGTTTCATAGCTAATTGTCTGTTTGATTATATTAAAAGTGACAGCCGTCTTATCGTTTGGCAAAGCTTCTATAATAAATATTTAATGCCAATCGCGATTCAGTGTAAATTTATAAAGTTTTTACAGCTTCAAATGACGCTTTTCATTAATATAATAAAAAATCATTGAATTAAAGTTTAAAATGAATGCATAAAATGCAGGAGGATTATTTAAATAATTTGTAGCCCAGCTGACGCCACGACAAAAAATAATAAGCTCTGATTAAGCAAGGACGATATATAGTTGCTTTAATGTAGAAATCCTGTGAACCCTTTGGATAAAAGTAACGGCTGTTTCGAATTTCTTGACGAGTTTACTTGCTCGCGTGTGTCACGACCAACAAGTATTTTTCGATCAATTTTTCCTTGACGAAGTTCTACGAGCTCGCACTATTAGTTAAGTATACGGGAACAATTTCAAGATACTTTTTGTTCAAAACAGCTTCCAACAAAATTAAAAACAGCTGAACTGTCTACAACACCACACTTCACAAGAGAATCTCAAAATAAACGAGACTTCTAATGTCAATGCCGCTTGAAGATGAGTGTGCATTTGACGTACTGCGCAATAGTACTTGTCACGTTTCCGTGACTGCTATACAGACGAATTACAATTTCCTTGTTGAAAAACTAGATTGACCATGCATGCAGCTTTTGAATAAGGCTCCTTGTTAATTATTTTCCGAAATTACCAAAGATACAGTTGCAATTTACAAATTGTGAGATTATTTGACGTGCGACAGAGTAATACAACTTTGTATATGATCTCTATCGGAAGAGCCGGGACATCGAAAGATCAAAAAGCAACGTCGCTAGTTACTGCTTTGCTGCCACAAGCCAGTTATCCTTGTGGTAACTTTTCTGACACCCCTAGCTTAAAACTTGTAGAGTAGGCCATGCTTTCACAGTTTGTTTTCATACTGAAAATCAAAAAATTAATTGAGCTTGTACCCTTTTGTTCTATATACATGACGCATGAGATTCCCGTTCTCATTTGTGAAATGATATCTGCAAAAACAAAATGCTCACAAGTATCCATAAAAGCGGATGATTTGGCAAGCACTTAGCTCGAAGTCTACCCCGCGCTTTGCGTCACAATGGGACGCCAGTGCGCAAAAAACACCTGTTTAATTTTAGCCTTTTAATTATGCTAAACTCATTACAAACCACCCAAAAGGCAGCATCATGTAGAACTTGAAATTATTTTGACTTCACGTTGACTTCCCGCGTGGCCTTCAAACCCGAAAGGTGTTGAGCGGAATTCCATTTCAACTATCATGATTTGTTTAATGTTATGTTATCGCCATTTCACATGCATATCTTAATTTTGATTGGAACTTTCTGGTTTGTTTAATATCTTGATCGGAAGTAGTGAGCACTCGTGGATCGTTGGGTAAATTGTTCGTGGATCGTGGATAGATGTGATTGGTTTACACTATGAAAGTTTTTGTGATAACAGGAGGAATTTTCTATGGGTAAATTCTAAGTTTTTAAGGATTTGTAAGAAATTTTTCAGGGAAATGACTCGTTGTTTAGCACTGAGGCAGTTCCTTCAAACCGTTGTTAACAATTATAACAACCTTGTTGATATTATCAGTCTTGTTGCATGGTCGTTCCAACAAGTACGATGTAGTCATGATATGACAATTGTGTGGTTATATTACTACTTTAAAAAATAAGCAGAAACTCGACGTTTCGAGCGAAGGCCCTTCGTCAAGAGTTACTGGTAGTAATATAACCACTCAGCACAGCATTTTCACATTGGTACTACCCACACTGGTACAGACAGTTTTAGTATACAATATTGTTACAACCTTGTGTCGTCAACCTTGTAGCATTCTTGTTACATCATGACTGTATCAGACTTGTTAGAACAACCTTGTAACAAGTCTGCTAATGCCATCAAGCTTGTTATACAAGTTGTTAACCTAACAGCTTGTTCCAAACTAAAAGATGACAACTACTCGTAGAAACTTTTAGAAATCCTGCATGGACATCTTATTCATGTTACAAACTTACAATCATTGATCCACGAACCACGATATTTTCTACCTGATCCACGAACCTCGACCGTTAGCCACTGTTTATCTGATCAGCCTACCACTGTGCGCGTGCTTTGGGGGGTTTTCAGTGACACGACGCGACGCATTCAACCGAACGAATTACTTCCATTTGGCAAGGATTTGTTAAATTCGAGTTGCGGTTTTGACCGCACGGAGCATTTTGTAGAGATTTCTATCGAAACAGACGTGGCATTTTATGATCGTAATATAGATGCAATCTCTTAATATGGAGACGTAACGTCTAAGGACGAATTGACAAGCAAAGAGATCGAAGATCCGAAAACAAATACAGAAGTAAGGAGGTAATAATATATATGTATACTATATAGAGCAGTTTTGCAAATTTCGATAACACACATTTGCCAGCTTGCGCGTCGGTTTTTCAGTGGTACATAGAATTGATTACAAGCTTTGCGCATTTTTACTACAAGATTTCAGTTAATGTTCTCTATAATTTAGTGAGTATCTGTAACTTATTAAATATATCACTGGATATAGGATCTATTGAAGGATTGTAGCCTGTTTAAATGTTAGCATTTAGCATTGCTTATGAGCCGTTGTGACGCGTGCATATGTCAGTTTTTTCGTGCGCCGTTTATGAGTTGTGATCATGAGGATGTATGAGTGCAACATATTAAACATTATTGATGCATTGTTGTTTACCGACGGCGTTTTCTTTTTGCATAATATAATTGAGCAGTGCAATGTAGCAGAATAGAGGAGAAACAGAGACAAGGAACAAGGCTGATTTACGCATTTTGTACTAGCAAAAATTCATGTATTTATTCTTCCTAACATACGCCAGTGTTGAAAGTGTGTGACGGTGTGAAGCTCTTTCAAATTAGTGAACTGATCATGAAAGCATAGTTTTAATTATAAGAACAATAGTCGATGATCATCGATACTTTTATGGTGTAAACAAGTCTTAAGATTAATATTATTGCTCATTGCAGAAATAATTCGTCGTTTCGATCACTGCAACAACAGGAGCTGCGCGCGTTTGTCTGCGAAATACGTCGGTCTGGTATCATAGTGCCACCTGGGCCACACGGCCCACACGTGGAATAGCTAGTCTCGTAAAACTGATCACACATTTGTCAACAAAGATATGTTCGCTGAACAGACTATGTATAGTTTGCCTCGGGCTTGTGACAATTTCACAACAAGATTGAACATTAAGTATGATGCTAACACAACCTGGTATTTGCTTATAGGAACAAAAATTAACCTTGTATAGCAAGTCCGTTGCGGTTCAATATATCAAACTGAATTTCTATTCAATGCAGTGCTAATTTATTGTAGGTCTTATACTCAAATTTCATGATTCATTGTGATAACGAACGCACACGAATTAACATCCTTCTTTCACGTATTTTCTTCTGACACACGAGTGAAACCACGGACGAAATGATTAAGTAAAATAACATTATTTTTCGGATGTTTTTGCAATAAAAAGCATTGTTTTCTTTTCTATGTTTCAAGGCTGACATGATTTTCAATTATCTTGCTAATGTGTGATGGCTGTTTATTATCTTTGTTCGTGTTGTCATTACTGTAATTGTAATTTGAACAGCTTTTAAACTTGTTACGGGCAATTTGCATGCGGGGCGAAGATTCGCGAAGCTTTATATTTTATTCGAATCATATATTATTCGGATTCGGAGTGAGTCAAGGAATCTCGGGATATCGTGGGCAACTTTTTCCTGTCAAACAGATTGACGAACATTTTCAAAACAACATTATTGCAAAGTTTTTTCGAAACATACATTAACACATTTTCAAAACGTATAGAGTATATATTTCTTCCTATTTCCGCCAATTTAATGCGTGTCACTTTAATCATTTTTAAGTACAGTTGCCCAAGTTTGACAATCTGTACGTGTGTACGACTTTTACGCACAAACTACCCGACCAAATAATGGTTCATCAAAATGTGACTAAGAGCGCTCATTTCTCAATGCCATAAAGATACTCAAGTACGACCAGGAATTTGGGG